ATAATGGCATAGAGAGTACACTTATAAAGTCTGAGGACGATACCAAACTGGCAGGGGTTGCAAGTGCTTTGGAGGATAGAATTAAAATTCAAAATGATGTGGACAAACTGGAGAAATGGTCTGAAGTAATGAAGGATAAAATTTAATAAGGACAAATACAAAGTACTCCACTTAGGAAGGAACAATCAGTTGCACAGATACAGAATCTGGGACCTTATTTAAGGAGGAGCGGGATGTTAATGTCATTGCTTTGGAGCAGGGGTGGGCAAACTTTTTGGCCAGAGGGCCACATCTGGATATGGAAATTGTATGGCGGGCCATGAATGCTCATGAGATTGTGGGTTGGGGTGCGGGAGGGGGTGAGGACTCCGGCTGGTGGTGCGGGCTCTGGGGTGGGGCCAGAAATGGGGAGTTCAGTGTGCGGGAGGGGGCTCAGGGCTGGGGCAGAGGGTGGGATGCGGGTGGAGGGTGAGGGCTCCCACTGGGGGTGCGGGCTCTGGGGTGCTTGGGGTGAGGGCAGCATGCAGAACCCCCTGGCTGCCCCTACATAGGGCTGGAGTGGGGACATGCTGCTGCTTCCGGGAGCCATGCAGAGCCATGGCACACATGAAGTTGGACAAGCCCCAGACCCCGCTCCCCGGCAGGAGCTCGAGGGCCAGATTAACACGTCTGAAGGGACGGATGCAGCCCTCAGGCCGTAGTTTGCCCACCCCTGCTTTGGAGCCTAGATAGAATCTGAGGTACGTTGTGATTTACCACTTGCTAACCACTTTGTTCCATTTCACTGTGAGACACATCTAGAATAATGGATAACTGAGTTCAAAGTTGTACTACTCATGCAGGGAGAGAAGTGAGGAGTGGAAGTCCTTAAACTACAGGACTGATTCAAGGTCTGGAAAACATGCCTAACAGTGAGAGTTAAGGAGCTCATCCACTCATTTTATTAAAGAAAAGGTTAACAGATAACTTGATCAAGCTTTACAAGTACATACACAGGATGAAAATATTTGATGCTCTTTCAGCTAGCAGATATTGACGTCACAAGACCCAGTGTCTGGAAGTTGAAGCTAGACAGACCCAGACTGGAAGTTAAGTGCACATTTTTTACAGTGAAGATACCTAACAATTGGAACAACTTCGATTTCATAGCGTTTAAGGCCAGACGGGACCATTAGGTCTTCTAGTCTGATCTCCTGTATATCACAGGCCATTCAATTTCAGCCCATTACACACTGTGTTAACGCCCGATAATGTGGGTTAGACTAAAGCATTTCAGTCTTCAGGACACTAAAGGGTCGTGCGCCACAGGCACAGAACAGGTAATATCAAGGTGCCACCAGTGCCCAAGGCCCCTTCAATGGCAGGAAATTGATTAGGTGGGATATATGCCCAGAAATCCCATCAGGTCATCTGTGCATCAGGCTGTGGAGGAAGGCAACCCCCCCCCCACCCCCACCCCAGGGCTCTTGCTAATCTGCCATGGGGGGAAAATCCTTCCTGACCCCAAATCTGGTGATCAGTATGACCCTGAGCATTTTAACAAAACACACCAGCCAAGCACCTAAATATAGGATTTTCTGGACCAGCTCAGAGCACTGGTCCACCCCAAATGGTGTCCTATCTCTAACTGTGGCCAATCTTTGAAGCTTCAGAGGAAGGCGGGGGAGGGAGAGAATAACCTTAGGTAGGCATGTGGTAAATTCTCCATCACTTGAGGTCTTTAAATCAAGATTAAATGTTTTTCTAAGAACCATAGCTCTAGTTTGACCCCCAGTTATTCAGCTCAAGGCAGGAATCCCTGGGTGAAATGCTATGGCCTATGTGAGGTCCGACGAGATGCTCATAATGGTCCCTACCGGCCTGAAGAGCTATGAAAACGCTTAATGGCTCTTGGCAGCAGGTGGCAAACTATGAATGGTTGCCGTCTGTTTTAAATGAGAACCTGAATGTCCTAGTCATTGTCTGTTTTAATGGATAAACATAACCAGTTACTGCTTATGCTGACTGAAGCATTCATACACACACACATCAGTACATTGAAAATATTGGTAAGGGGGCTGGATGCCCCAGGGGATTTGTAATGGGGTTACACTGGCTCTAATCCTAGCCAAATCAATAGAGACAGAAAGTTCTCACTGAAGTATGGTTACCATGTGATGACCATCCACTGGTCTGTGTATGCTGGGCTGTTGAGTTCCCAGTGAACAGTTGTCCACATCAAAAAAGCTGCCGTTACCACTGGCAGCCTCAGGAGAGATGCAAATTAATGAACGATCCTGGAGAATGAAACACTCAGGATGAATGGTCAGAGATTAATAGAATGACCAAATGCCCTGGAAAACCTATGGCCCAATATCTGGGGTCTGTCCTAACCAGCTGGTTACATTCACAAAAATGGTTCTTCTCCACACACCCCTGATTTTGTAATCCAGGATGGGGACTGGGGCTCAGTGTTGCTGTGTTTCCTGCATCGGCTCAGGACTCTCCTGCTGAATGCTGTTGGCATTGCTTGCTGCCACGTCTGGGAGCAGAAGAGGGGCACTGCTGCTGAGGGCTCGGAGGTTTGAGGAGGTGCAAAGACTGTGGGCTGCTTCTCAGACCTGGCATTCTGGTCACCTGTGTAGATCTTATCTCCTGGCCTCAGATGAGACAAGGGCTTGGGTCAGGTAGGCAGGTGGGAGTGAAAATGCAGCAAGACAAATGAAAGGAATGGGGGTGACTGAGAAGAAAAGAGGGAGTGTTGCTGGTGGATGAGAGGGAATGTGGGTAGGTGAGAGAGTGGGGCTGGCCGCAGAGAGAAGTAAATACTGAGGGGGAGAGAGGACAGATGAGTAGCGGTTGACATGAGGAATGGGAGGAGAAGAACATAGAAAATGGAGAACAGGAGGAAAACGCAGGTGGATAAGAGTCTGTAGCTAGAAACTGGTAGCAGAGGAGACAAATAACAATTTTAAAGGAGGAAGCTAATACAGTCACAACAATGAGCTGCTTCTCCCACCCCACTCTTCCCTGTGGTGTGCCTGACTCTCATTGTGGAAGGGGGAAGGAGTGTAGCTGGCTGAGGAAAGGGAGAGAGGAGAGGACAGCTATTTTTCCCAAGTCAGCGGCCAACTCATAGATGGCTGAGCTATCCCCCAGTGCACCAAAGTGTCCTAGTATTTCACAAGGAAAATCTGTTCCCCATATGGAGGGAAGCTAACAACTGCTCCTGGTCCCCATGCTCTACCTGTCCTGGCCCCATGCTGGCCATCCTGCACCTTTCATGAGCACAAAGCGCCTTTTACAACACACTTAAGTGCACCGAGGATTCCATCTCTTCCTGCAATGCCCAGATTAGGCCTCTCCGGCAGCAATGGAGATCCTGGGCCTTGTTCTCTTCTCACATATGCTAATGCAAACCATTGAAGTCCATGGCCTTACACTGGTGCAGATGAGTGGCGTTAGGCCCCATGTTCTGAGACACACACCTGTCTTCCCTGCCAGAGGGCTGCAAGTGCAGCCACACTAGGGGGATGGAGGGCCAAACGCTGCAGCAATGCTCGCATGAAAGCCGGACCTTTTGCAGCTGCATTGAAAAGAATGGCACTGCTTGTGGAGGAAGGGGCTAATTGTAGGGCTGCAGGCTCTGGCTCAGAGTTGCTATCTGGATTCTAACTCCTCTGGCTTTAGTCAGTTTAAGCTGGATCAGTAAAAGCTATTTGAACCTGGTTCATCTTTGGGGGAATGAATTGACCATGTACTGTTCTTCCTCACTTTAAGGAAGAGGCAGACTCTGAATTCACACAGGCACAAATTAGGAAGCGTGAGGGAATATTGTGCCTGGCCCTGGTGCAGGGGCATCATTGGCCGCCCCCCAGGCTTTTCATGGCTCCTCGCCAGCTGGTGCTGTAGTGTCTTTCCTGGTCCTGCAGAGGCTGCTGTGGGGTGGGCCAGGAAAGACACTTGCATTGTCAGCCCCACCCCCCACCAACCGGACAGGAAGCACCGTGGCCTGCCATTGGTGGGACAACCGCCCTGACCCACCGTGTCCCCTACTCCTCATGATAGGACTTGCCCACCACCTCCCCACCCCTCTCTGGCATGGGACCAGCCTGCTAATCTCCCATGAGCAGTAGCGGCCTCTGTGGGGAGAGGGAACTAGGGATGCTGACACAACTTTTCTCCGCCACCTCTGAATTTTTCTGAAATGACACCTCTGCCCTGAGGAAAAGAGAAAGATAACAGGGATGGCATCGCACTAGGGAGCCACCACACCAGGAGCAAATGGACCAGGGGACCAAACTCCAGGCATGGTGGTCAGTCCTATCTGGGGAGGTTTGTACCTAGTGGAGATCCCAAGGGCCTGCCTCTCTCGTGGATACTTTGGCAACCCCTAGTACAGCTCATCATGCTGATAAAATCTCACTGAATTGAAGCAGCGGGGCAATAAAATGACAGGTATAAAACAGGGCCCAGATCTCTACTTGAAATCAATGAAGCGACACCAGCATATAGCTGTGTGGAGAATCAGACCTCGGCCCTCCCCATGCATTCACATGTGGGTACCTGTGCAGGCGAATCGTGCCATTGAACTTGGCCGGTCTCCTCCCATGTGTGTCTGCAGGATGGAAGACCAGAACTTCTCCCTGACTCTCAAATAAAAAATAACCAGAATTTTTAAAAGAGCATTTTCAGTTGTGCGTGGGGTGGGGGGGTAATTTACTGCAATCAGCGAGACTATTGCAGATTCTTATGGCCATGCCACCTAGCCTGCAAGCCTGGGACAGCCATAAACGTAATGATGGGTAAACGCTGAGTATTTAACTCCCCCTGTTCAAATTATAGCTTGATGCACCACTGCATTGTAACTTTCCCTTTAAGAAACCCCTGGCTAAAGGCAATATAGTGAAATGCAGGAGGTGGGGACAAAAAAAAAAAAAAGAAGAAGACGTGAAGGCAGGAAAAGTTTCTTCAGAGGAAAAATGCAGGGTTTGTCCTTTGCCCTGACGTCAGATCTGTCTTTAATAAAATCCCCGAAGAGCCAGGAGAAAAATGCAGATCTGCCTGACTCGCTAGGCTGCCAGTTGAGGATTGCTCTGCATTCCCAACGTGGGGTTTTTGTACAAAACGGCTCTAAATCTGGGTTCAATCAATGTATTTAATCCTGGCTTCCAGTGATGAGGTGGCTTCTGCCCTGGCTTCTAGCAGCAAGCAGCATTTTGCAGGTGAGTTGGCAAAGTGGAGGAGAGAAATGTTTTCTGCAAACTATTATTGGTAGGATTTTAGTGTTCATAAATTGGTGTATGCTGGAAAATGCAAGAGCCGCCTGCTAAGGATTGGGTAGATGGGATCTGAGAGTGCCAAGGGTAAAGGTGAGATGAGGCAGGAGGGGGAATATCTAGAGAAGAACAGAGCTGCCCTTGTGACCCTAATCCTTCATCACCCCAAAATTGGGACCGGTTTTTGAGGCCAGAAAAGCAGCAGCAAATGCAAGTTGCTCAATCCTTTTGCACTGAGCGAATAAATTCCTGTTTGACAGCTTAAATGTGCCAGTGGAACATCATTGTGGGAATTGGATTAGAAGCCAGTGCGGGAACTAAGAAAGAGTCTGAGGGAATCAAGAGCAAAATGTGTGTGTCTTAGGAAAGGTCCAGCAGTAACGCTGAAGGGGGTGGGGAGGAACAGCCGGCTGAGTGAATCAAGAGATCAGAACAGACCACACGTGGCAGCAGCTCCCAGTACACAAGAGAGCAGAAGAGATACTGATCAAGGGGGGCAGGCCCAGACTGCAAGCCCTGCTGGAGGGGCCAGGGGAGGAAAGGAGAGCAGCTAGCAGAGATCAAACGAGTTTGCAGAGCAGTGTAAAATGGTTAAAGGCGCAGGGTCTGGCCTGTGCATCGTGCAGAAGCCACCTGGCTGGCAACGAGAGAGATGGCCAATGATTGAGGGAGTGGGACATCTGTGCTCTGCAGCTCTGTTTACAGGTGTGCAGGGAGTGGGCCTCGATCAAACGCTCTCTCCAGATCTGGCTCTTTTGGGTAATGTTGATCGCTAATTTGGCTCCTGAACCACTGAGGTCTGAGTGTCACTCATCTAGTGTGTCCAATGTGCCTGTGTGAGACCAGACACCAAGGTGATAAGCGTGGTATAAATCAATAGACAGACAGATATGAGGTCCACCCTAGGAAAAAAATTCGACTTGCCTGTTCATCTAAGGGCTGGTCTACACTTACCCCCCAAATCGAAGTAAGGTACGCAAATTCAGCTACGTGAATAACGTAGCTGAATTCGACATACCTTACTTCGACCTTACCGCGGTTCAGACGCGGTCCACACGCGGCAGGCAGGCTCCCCGTCGACTTCGCGGTACTCCTCTCGCTGAGCTGGAGTACCGCAGTCGACGGGGATCACTTCCTGGTTCGATTTATCGCGTCCAGACCAGACGCGATAAATCGAACTCGGAACTTCGATCCGCAGCCGTCGAACTAACCGGTAAGTGTAGACTAGCCCTAAGGCAAGTAACTTGCTCTGATGGGCAAGTAACATAGCATGAGTGAGTATTTTCCCTCCCCACTCTCATGGTAGCTGTAATGAGGACTATAGGTTTTGTACCTGCTGTAATCCACTTTCTTGATGGTGAAAGGCTCTGTATTTAAAAACACAACACAACATAAGTCTGGGGGGAGGGAGGGGCTGGCTGGTGGTGAATGTGTAAATGTTATTTGTTTACTGCTGACAACGTGCTTGGGTCTGATTAGCCCACAAAAGTAAAGCCAGTCCCTGGCCAGGAGACCTTCCAGTTCGAGGCCCTGATCCTTCAATCAGATCCTGGCAGCTGGACCCCTGTGCCTGTGGGCAGTCCCACTGAAATCGTTGGGGCTCTAGGTGGGTCTGATTGTGTGGATCAGATTGCAGGATCAGGCCCTAAAAGGCAGACCCATCAAAGACAGGCTGTATGTGGAAATCCAGAGGTGGGGAAGACTTCCTTTTAATAACTACTACTTTCATAATGCATTTGCTTCTTACAGAGAGGGTCTTGAATGAAAAAGGAAGGGGGTTTGGCAGACTGTGACAGGGAAGATATTCCCTGCATAGGGGGCAGCGTGGTAAAATGCCGGGAGCATAGTGGGACACCAAGGCTGGTATGTCAGTGTATGAGAGAGCACATGAGGATGTAGGGTTGCAATAAAGTTCTGATTGGCATGGGCTTGGGATGACTGCACTACTGATAAGAGCAGCCTCAGGTGAGCCAGTAAAGGCCGTCCCAACCGAGTGCTAATGTAACCCTCCCAGCACGCCACCCTGGATCTTAGTCGATTTTTAGCAGTGACTGTCAAGGCACATGAGTAAAGTAAGTCCCGGCCCCAAGACACCTGCAATATAAGGGCCTGGGTCTACAGGATGGACAGCTGCCTCCACATGCAGCACCCCATTGATTTCACCCGCATTGTGCCCAAGCACAGCGGACTGTCCACATGTCTCAGTTTCAGGATTGTGGCCTAAAAAAGAGAGAGCAGGGTGCTCTGGAAAATCCAAAGGTGGGCGTGATTTTCTGCTTTTAGTCTTCCTAATCAGACTAAATTTGCTGGCTGTGGGCAGTGCGGAGAACTGTTTTTAAGAAGGACTGGCATGCCCAGTAGGGCATACAAAGCACAGTGGATGTATTCTGTAAATGTATCACATTCTACTCCATCTTATAAATGTTTTAGTAAATTCTTAAACATTTTATTGGGATTATCTTTTTCTCTTCCACTTCTAAGACCAAACTCTCCTAGTACTAGGAGTGCAACTGTACAGGGAGAGAGAGAGAAAAATCTACTGACTTTAAAACTTCTAAATTTTCCCTCAAATATTGTTCTAGACATAGGCTAAAACTTCAAAAAGCACCTTAGCTACTTAGCCTCCCAACTCCCATTAACTTTCAATGAAACTGATGCTTCTAAGTGTCTGTCACTTTTGAAAGTGGGACTTATAATGGCAGGACTTTGGAGTTTGATAACATGACCCCTTTCAGGGCTGGAAACAAGTGCTGTGCTTCTCACTGGGAAACCAAGAATCTTCCCTTTCTTCTGATTCTAGCCCTGATGGGTCATGCGATTTGAATCTTGTCATTCCTGCAGGACTGAATATTTCCTGTCTTGGGCCTCAGAGCAGGGTGATTTTGGGGAGGGGAAATTCCACGCATAAGGAGAAATAAAGCAATCAAAATTGAGGGGGTGGGGGGATAGGAAGCTCTTTGAAGTTGCTCAGAGGTTTGGAATGTTAGAAGTTGTCTTGTTGGAGATGGTCAGCGGTCTCAGAGTGCAATGGTGTGTGGTCCATGCTGGATATCACCACCATGTAAGGAGGGAGGGGGTGCGCTTGGGCCTTTTTTTTCTCAAATCACATTGGTAAACAGTCCCACAGCAAAGAGTAAATGGTGCTATTGCTCCCCTAAATAAGCAGGCAGTTATGCGAGCAGCAGGAAAGATAGTAGTTTATTTGAGGGCATCATCACTTATAGCTGGTGTGGACAGCAGAAAGAGAACCAACCAAACACTGACTTTGTGGTTTTTGTTGGTGGGGAACAGGGCGTGTATGTGCCAACCTCCCTTTAAATCCCTAGGTTTTCATAATCATTGCCATGGATCTGAGCTATGGGCTGCCCTAGACCTGTGGGTAGGATGGTTTGAGAAGAGTAATGTGTAGTTTTTCCTTCTCCTTTTTCTAGGATTTACCGCCATGGGTTTAGGTCCAAGACGTTTTCATTTGTAAAATATTTGGAACGGGTGGCAGGAAAAACTGATTGTGATTTCTTGGACTCCGTCTCCAAAGGAAACCACGTTTTGACCAATCTTGAACCAAAAAAACAGCCTGGATTTTATTTTTATTTTTTTTCACTGGCAGCTTGTCTAGTGTTTAATCATTTCATGAGTTCCAGGGACCTGGCAAAACACAGATGTTAGGAGGAGGTGAACTCAGGTTGGGTCACCAATAATTTTGTATTTGGAGCTTACAGGCTGATGGTTCCTGGGACCTGGATAATTCTGTGTGGTGTATATTCAAAGTGAGGACAGCTTGATGGGTCACATTCACCCCAGAGCATCTCCACTGCCACTGCTATTCTGTCGGGGACTGTCCTTTTGTTCTGTGTTTGTACAGCACCTAGCACAATGGTCTGCTAGGCATTGCTGCAATGCAAATAATACTGCTTCAATAGTGACTGCTTCCCAGGTACATACGGCAGTTAGGCTTCACTTCCTGACAACGGGTCTCATCCTCAGCTGGTATCAATTGACAAAGTGCCATTGGGAGCTACACTGAGTCACACCAGCCGAGAATCAGGCCTAATTTATTCAGCTGCCTTGAAAATGTATGTGCTGTAGTGGAAACCTGGTCAATGGCATCCCGAAAGTGCACCTACTAACTGCACTGTGTTTATTGCTTTGGATTAAAAAGCTTTTGACTTAGGCTATGTCTACACTACAGCCTATGTCGGCATAATTTATGTCACTCAGGGGGTGAATAACCCCACCCATCCCCCGAGCGACGGAAGTTACATCGACATACGCGCCGGTGTGGACAGCTTCTCCCAGCGACATAGCTACCGACACTCGCAGGGGCTGGAGAAGTTAAGCCAACGGGAGCTGTCAGCTTAGAGCAGCTACATTAGAGAGCTTACAGCAGCACAGCGGCACCACTGTAAGCTCTCTAGTGTAGTCATAGCCTTAGAAACTCCCCTCTTGCACACCCACATGCACAAGCAAATAATTGCCCTTTCAAATGCAAAGTCCTGGAAGTGTCACTGCCTGGAGGTTAAGATGGTTCCTTGAAGTTCAATTAGGACTCAGTCCTGTTCCCACTGAAACCATTCACAAAACCCCCACTGACTTCAGCAGCAGTAGGGCTGCTTTGTACTTTTCATAACGTCTGTCGTCCATCTCCAAACTCCGGATTGTGCTGATTGCCTTCAGCTTCATTCTGTAGCAGCTGGAGCTCTGCAAAGAGTGTGACAATTACAGTGAAAGAGGGTGGGGTAGGCCTAGGAGCCAGGACTCCTGGGTTCTCTTCCCAGCTCTGCCTCTGACTACTTGTGCCTCTTTGGGGAACTCCTTCCAGGGGTCTTGAGATTCTCTGAGGAAACGCGCTAAGAGTGATTGGTTTTAATAATCCTGCTTTCACTTACCTAGCATGTTCCTGGAAAGATCTCAATGACAGTTTCCTAGTTATTGTTCCCATTTTACAC